CGAGACTCGGTGCACTCCAACCAACTGGCGTGCTGCAACTATATGGACCCCACTTCGGGAAATGTTTGCACAGAGGGCTCTTGTTGATTTGCTGGCCTGCCTTCACTTAGGGCGGGCACTAGGCTGGCTGGGGCCTTAGCCCAGAACATGTACATCATGGCAAGGCCCCTTCTTGAGGGCTCAATCCTCACAGTTTTCTCTAGTTCAATATAACCCTGAGCACCTTCACTTTTGAAACTGGGGGATCTATATCTATAGTAAAAGGATGCAAGCTGGTTTTCACGGGCTCTGGTATATTTTTGGGAGCAGCACAGCTGGCGACTGGGGCCAGCATTCCATGTCAGAACAAGTTAAACCACGAGAAATTGCCAGACGCCTCGAGCCTTTTTTTGTCTGGTAAGCCCGATCTGCAATTTCGCACCAGTTGACCCACCGCATCTAAAGAAGGTAGCCTGCAAACTTAATGGCAGTTTAAGATCCATGTTGCTGGCAAGCAATGCCTGTGAATGCCCGGCTCTTATTTATGCATGTCAGCATTTGAATTTCCAGAAACATGTCCAACTTTGCAGGGTAGTCTGCCATTTGTTGGTACCTTTATCATAAGCCAACAGAGAAACTCACAGAATGCTCCAGTAGCTTCTGCCATTCATCTAGCAATGACGTACAGACTAGCAAACATGCAGGTGCAGATTCCAATCAAACAGGACAATCGTGTGTTACAGCATCACGGCGAATGATTCTGAAAGTTGCAATTTGTTCTGATCCTGGCTATCTTGCAGTGCAGTAACTCAAAGAAAGACAATGCTGTTCAATTGCAACTGAAATGAAAGAACTTGGAAAGAGAGTTAGACAAAGGAAGAAGAAGAAATAAGAATGGAAGCAGAAGAAAAAGATTAACATCTGCAAAAACCAATGTCAATCCCCTTCATTTTCCCACCATCTCCAAACTCCTTTTACTCCCCAAATTCTTCTTATTTGTATTAATAATACTAATAACAATGAAAGAGTGACCCAGAACCAATGTCCGAATCATCTGCTTACTGCCAGCCACTCATCAGGTCCACCATAGCTATCTCATAGACCTTCCTCGTCCCTTGTCAAATAGGTGGCTATGGTGGACTAAGAAAGCCATGCTCCAATGTTCGAACGACAACACAAAGCTGAACCCCCCCCCCTACTATGGCAGCCATGCCTATCACTACCCCGAAGTCTGCCTTGAAGAAGCCAACCCCGACAGGGGACTTACAGGTGCAGCACCAATCAAGAAGATGATGTAGACCACCTTAGTCATGTAAGCACACCAGCCACTCTCCTCCTTCCTCATTGTCTTCCTCCTGCTACTCCTTCCCTGGAGCCTCCTTCTCAGTCCTCTCCACCATACCTATGGTGGAGGGCCAGGCCCACCTTCTTCCTCCCAGCGCTCCTCCAAGCTGACTGCTTGCTCCAGCAGCCAGTCACAAAACTTGCTAGGTGCACAATGAGGAGGAGCTCTTTGCTCCCCTTCACGAAATACCGGCCTACTGCCTCTTCGGGTGGTGACTTTCCAGGCCGCATGATGTACATAATAACCGAGGATCCGCAATGTGATAAAAAGGACTGAATGGACAATGCAGTTCAAGTGGAATCTCAACAAGCAGTGTACATTCCGATACATACAAAATGGTGCTTTATAGCGCAGGGAAGACTTTAGATACAAGTCCTGACCTGACCGGGACTGACCTCTACTACGTAGTCCAAGACAGCGCAGCAGAATGCTAGAATACCAATGACTAGCCCAATCAATGTTGCAATGCAGACCAAACATACATCATGCCCATCACAAGGTGTGAAGGGGCCTGGCGCTATACACAGGAAGGAGGCGCCAGGTCCAGACATACACAGACGAAGAGGAGGGGATCAGACGAAGAAGAGGAAGGGGGAGATGGGAAAGTCGTCAACACCAAGTCTCGTTACAAGTCCCAAATAATCCCTCTTCAAAATGTCTGAAGTCCAATGTCGAGCCTGGATCCAAATGTCACCAAGCTCTCTCTCT